ATTAAAGACATGAATATAAGTCTGAAACCAGGGATCCCTGGGTGGCTCATGGGGATCCCTGGGTGGCTCAGCAGTTTGGCTCCTGCCTTCAGCCTGGGTCGTGATCCTGGAGACCCGGGATCGAGTCCCACATCAGGCTCCCTGCATGGAGCCTGCTTGTCCCTCTGCCTGTGTCTCTGCCTCGCTCTCTGTTTCTCTCATGAATAAATAAATAAGATCTTTAAAAAAAAAAAAAAAGACCTGAAACCATAAAACATCTAGAAGGAAGTCTGGGCAATAAGCTCTTTAACTTGAGTTTTAGCAATGTTTTCATTCTTCTGAATTGGATTCCAAAGGCAAGGGCACCAGAAGCAAAAATGAACAAATGTGACTACATCACTAAATAGGTTCTGCACAGCAAGGGCAATCATCAATAAGATGAATAAGCCACCTACCAAATAGGAGGAGATATTTGCAAATCATATCTGATAAGGGGTTACTATACAAGATACATAAAGAATTTATACAACTCAACAACAAACCAACCAGCCTGATTAAAAAATAAGCAGATAATCTGAATAATTTTCCTCAAAAGGACAGAGATGGCCAACAGTCACCTAAAAAATATTTAGCATCATTAATTATGGCAATGCAAATCAAAACCACAATGACATCACCTTGTACCGGTCAGAATTGCTATGATCAAAAAGACAAGAAATAAGTGTTGTTGAGAATGTAGAGAAAAGAAAACCCTAATGCAGTCTTGCAGGAATGTAAGTTGGTAAAACCACCATGGCAAACATATGGAGGTTCCTAAAAAAAATAAAAATACAACTACTATATGATTTAGTAATTCCACCTCCAGGGTCTATCCCCTCCCTCCCTCCAAAAAAACTAATTTAAAACCATGTATGGGGATCCCTGGGTGGCGCAGTGGTTTAGCGCCTGCCTTTGGCCCGGGGCGCGATCCTGGAGACCCGGGATCGAATCCCATGTTGGGCTCCCGGTGCATGGAGCCTGCTTCTCCCTCTGCCTGTGTCTCTGCCTCTCTCTCTCTCTCTCTGTGTGTGACTATCATAAATAAATAAAAATTAAAAAAAAATAAAAAATAAAACCATGTATGTATCCCTGTATTTATTGCAGTGCTATTTGCAATAGTCAAGATACAGAAACAATCTTAAGTGTAGACTGATGTCTGAATGAATAAAAAAAATTATTTAGTGTGCATGTGTATACAAAGAAGATGTCTATGTGTGTATATATGTGTGTGTATACAAACTTCAAGTTATAAAATAGTCATGTGGATATAATGTACAGTGTGAGGAATATGGTCAATTATATTGTATCAACTTTGATGACAATGGGTCACCAGAGTTATTGATCAGTTCATAATGTATACAAATGTCAAAACACAATGTTGTACACATGAAACTAACAGAATATTATATTTCGATTATACTTCAATTAAAAAATGGAGCCATTCCCATTAGTTCAATGCGCATTAAAAGAAAGACATATAAATGTTATGAGCAAATCTAGGCCCATAAGTCTGATAGCATACATGAGATTTTTCAATTTCTTAAAGAATACAAACTATTAAATGCTATATTAAGAGAAATAACCTGGATAGATCTTTATTAAATATGCTCAGAAATTTAAGCCCTTCCTCCCTTCAAAAAAAGTTCTGGACTCAAAGTTTTACAGGTGAAATCTACCAAACACTTAACAGACAAGAGCCTTTTTATCCAGAAAGTAGAAGAGAATACTTTCTAACTCATTTTACAAGATCAGACTTAGAATAGAACCATAGGAAGATGTAAGAAGAAAGGGAAACTATAATCCAACATTCCTCATGAACATTGACATGCTAGCAAAATATTAGCAAATCAGACCCAAAAACATATAAATATTATAATAGATCAAAACCAAGTTGCATTTTTTCCACAAATGCAAGACTCATTCAACATTTGTGAAGCAATCACTGTAAATTATTTTATCAGATTGAGTAACAAAAGCCATGTAATAATCTATGAAGGAAAAAAATCATGAAAAATCTCAAAAAGACCCACAACACAAGAGTAAAGGGAATTTCATTAAATAAGGGGAATATGCAAAGGAAAAGAAAACAACTTATAGTTAACAGTGAGAAATGAAACACTTTTCCCCTAACAATTTGGAATAAGGCAAGGAAGTGCCCCCTCAACACTGCTTTTCAACATAATATTGGAAATCCTAGCTAAAATAGTAGGATAAAAAAATAATGGAATATGTACCACTAGGAAAGAAATATATAAACTATATAGATTGAAAGCTTGTCCATGCAGAAAAGAAAAAAAAAAGTTTTGGAACTAAGCAGTAAGTTGGCAAAGGTCAGCGGTTACAAGGAAAATATATGAAAGTCAATTCTTCTTTAATACGCCAGCAATGAACAAGAATTGGAAATTTTGTAAAGTATCATTTAAAATAACATCAAAAGATGGTAGAAATAAAAAAAAAAATCCTTAAGCAGAAAACTACAAAACACCAAAGGAAGAAATAAAGAAAGTTCTAAATAAATGGACATTATTTTTTGGTCCTAAATAAATGGACATTATTTTTTTTGTCCCTGTATTAGAAGACACAGCATTACTGAGGTGTCACTTCTCAACTTGGGCTATAGATTCAATGCAACCATAGTCAAACCCCCAGGGAGCTATTTTGTAGCTATTGAAAAGTTGATTCGACAATCGATGGGGATACGCAAAGGCCTACAACTAGTCAACACAATATTTAAGAACAAGGTTGGAGGACACCCAACACCCACTTTCAAGGCTTATTATCAAGCTGCAGTGCCCGCGACAGCATAATACCGGTGAAAGGACATACAGAGATCAAATGGGACAGAATAGAGGACACAGAAACAGACCCAGCCCGATGCAGTCAGCTGAACTTTGACATAAGAGCACAGGTAACTCGATGGAGAAAAAAATAGCCTTTTCAAAAGCGCAGGCTGATACAATTAGACACCCGTATGCAAAAGAAAAAGAGAACATAGAAATAGACCTTCTACCGTGTACAGAAATTATCCCAATTATATCAAAGTCTTAAATTTGAAAGGCAGAAATACAAAACATCTAGAATAAAACCTATGGAAAAAAACTAGATGACCTTGGGCCGGGTGATATTTTTAGATATAACAAAAAAAGCTTCATCTATGAAGAAGAAAAAACCCCACAAATTTGATATATTAATATTACAGAATTGTTCTACAAAACTTACTGTTTAGAATATGGACAAGTGGGATCCCTGGGTGGCGCAGCGGTTTGGCACCTGCCTTTGGCCCAGGGCGCGATCCTGGAGACCCGGGATCGAATCCCACGTTGGGCTCCCGGTGCATGGAGCCTGCTGCTCCCTCTGCCTGTGTCTCTGCCTCTCTCTCTCTCTCTCTCTCTCTCTCTCTCTCTCTCTGTGACGATCATAAATAAAAAAAAATCATTAAAAAAAAAAAAAGAATATGGACAAGTCACAGGGTTGGGGGAAATCATTTGCAATTTTTTGTTATCTGAGAAAGAATTTGAAACCAAATACACAAAGAACTGAAGATTCAATAAAAGCATCCGAAAGTTCAATTCTATCTTCAGAATATCTGAACAGACACCACACCAAAGAAGATATCTGGGTGGCGTTTGACCATCCAAAGCCATGCTCTTATTAGTCATTAGGGGACTACGTATTGAAACAAGATATATTATCCATGAGACATTGAGTCCTTAAAATTGTAGGTGAAAGTAGTTTCCCACAAAGACTACATCTCCTGCAATTTCATAAAAATATTTAGAAAAATAAAACTGGGGCGAGGGTAAAGATCAGTGATTGCCTCTAGCTGGGGGTGGAGTGAAAACTGACTACAGTGTGCGAATCCATCTTTCCTGAAGGGAGTGGAAACACTCTGGGAGGATTATTGTGATGGTTCCCCAAATTCCGTAAATTTATTAAAAGTCATTGGGACATTTAAAGTGGGTAAATTTTATGCGTCTTATGGTAAATTATACCTCCATAAAGATGTTTAAAAGCAGTTTTTCTGCAGAGGGAAAATAAGTAACTTCGTACTGAAGGAATCATCAGGCACCACCTTAATTAAGTGATGGAACTGACGATCATCAATAATATATTAAGTGAACCCGAATCAAGGAACATTCTATAAAATAACCGGCCCGTGGTTTCCTAAAGTGTCACTAACCACTGAAAACAACCGGTTACAGATCGAAGGAAAATAAGGAGACACGACAACCGAACAGAAGAGTGGGGACACCGGGATCCTCGAGCCTCGGGGGCCTTCAAGAGCACACGCTGGCCGCGGCCAGGGCTAATTCCCTGGGTTTGATCATTCTATTATAAAAAATCAAAGAAAACTGTACTCATTTGTAGGAGATCCCTACTCCAGTATTCACGGGAGGTAGGACACGGTGGAAGAAACCATTCCAGAGGGGATGGTGCTGTTTCCGCAGCATTAACACAAGTTCAAAACTATCTAGGAGTAAGGAGAATAGGGCCGTTCTAGTAGGAACATTAACCAGGAATCAGCGAATCTCCGTGTTATCTAAGATTCTAATAGGTTTCACGCCTGTTCTCAAGGCGTGGTTGTCCGTGAGGGCCTCAGGCCCGAGCTGCCAAGTATGCGATGAGCCCTCGCCAGGGTGCCCTTGAGGGGGTGTGGGGGCTCCTGCTCCCCAGGGCCACCCGCGGCGCCCTGAGCAGCGCCCCCTCGGCGGGGCAGGCCCTGCGCCCCGCTGTGTCTTCACGCCTGCGCCCTGGATCTGCTCCCGGGGGGAGGGGGTGGGGGGGAGAAAGGGGGGGAGGGGGGGAGGGGAGGAGAAGGAGGGGAGGGGAAAAAGGGGGAGGGGAGATGGGGGGAAGGGGGCCCAGGCTCTTACGAGCATCCGGGCCGCTGCTGGGAGCCTGTGGTCGGGCAGCGGACCTGTGGGGCCGGCGCAGGCGCGCGCGGGTCGGGCTCGCAGGGCGGGAAGCCGCTTGTTTTGCAGATGGAGCAGGGCGGGGCGGCGGCGGGGAAGCGCGCACCTGCACGTGCCCCCCCGCCCGAGCTGGAGGCGGGGTACGGCTGCCCCCGGCTCCCTCTTCGGGCAGCTCTGAGGCTGCGGCCACGGCCTGGAGGCCCGGGCTGCGCCCCCCGCTGCCACGGCCCCCGTGCACAGGGCTTGCGCGACCGTCGGCCTCCCGACGCGGGCCGCACACCTGCGGGCGCCACCTGCGGGCGCCACGTGCGGGCACCACGTGCGGGCCCCACCTGTGGGCGTCACCTGCGGGCCCCACCTGCGGGCACCACGTGCGGCCGCCACCTGCGGGCGCCACCTTCGGGCACCACCTGCGGGCACCACCTGCGGGCACCACCTGCGGGCGCCACCTGCGGGCACCACGTGCGGGCCCCACGTGCGGGCCCCACCTTCGGGCCCCACCTTCGGGCCCCACCTTCGGGCACCACCTGCGGGCGCCACCTGCGGGCACCACGTGCGGGCACCACCTGCGGGCGCCACGTGCGGGCCCCACCTGTGGGCGCCACCTGCGGGCCCCACCTGCGGGCGCCACGTGCGGGCACCACGTGCGGGCCTCACCTGCGGGCACCACGTGCGGGCACCACCTGCGGGCACCACGTGCGGGCCCCACGTGTGGGCCCCACCTTCGGGCACCACCTGCGGGCGCCACCTGCGGGCGCCACGTGCCGGCCCCACCTTCGGGCACCACCTGCGGGCGCCACCTGCGGACACCACGTGCGGGCACCACCTGCGGGCACCACCTGCGGGCGCCACGTGCGGGCACCACGTGCGGGCCCCACCTGTGGGCGCCACCTGCGGGCCCCACCTGCGGGCACCACGTGCGGCTGCCACCTGCGGGCACCACGTGCGGGCACCACGTGCGGGCCTCACCTGCGGGCACCACGTGCAGGCACCACCTGTGGGCCCCACCTGCGGGCACCACCTGCGGGCGCCACGTGCGGGCACCACCTGCGGGCACCACCTGCGGGCGCCACCTGCGGGCGCCACGTGCGGGCACCACGTGCGGGCCCCACCTGTGGGCGTCACCTGCGGGCCCCACCTGCGGGCACCACGTGCGGCCGCCACCTGCGGGCGCCACCTTTGGGCCCCACCTTCGGGCACCACCTGCGGGCGCCACCTGCGGGCGCCACGTGCCGGCCCCACCTTCGGGCACCACCTGCGGGCGCCACCTTTGGGCCCCACGTTGCGGGCACCACCTGCGGGCACCACCTGCGGGCGCCACGTGCGGGCACCACGTGCGGGCCCCACCTGTGGGCGCCACCTGCGGGCCCCACCTGCGGGCCCCACCTGCGGGCACCACGTGCCGGCGCCGGCCAGGGGCACGGCCTGCCGTCCTGCGGCCTGCGGGGTTCCGGGCACCCGGGTCGCCCCCTTGCAGCCCCCCCTCCCCGGGCCCCGGGAGACCGGCGGGCTCGACCTGGACGGGCGACGGTGAGCGGCGCGGAGACAGACAAGGATTATTGTCGCTGCTTCCGAGTTGTTAGTGACCTCGGGGTGTGCCACCCTCCCCAACGGCCTGAGCCGCGGGCAGCTGCCTCCTGGATGTGTGTCAGCCCGCACTAACAGGCTCTAACATTTTGCTTCTGATTATTGGAAAACCAACCGGTGCGGGATTGGGAGCACCGTGGTGTCTCGACACCAACGTCAAAATCGCTTTTTCGGTCTCCCGTTTTGTTTTCGAGGAGGCTTAGCTGGCCCCGCCATCTCGGTTCCTCTGTGTGACGGCGGCGGACACTGTATTGTCTCCAACAGGAAACCTGGGCGCTTCCAGCGGGCGCTCATCCGTGCCTCCAGGGCTCCAGGGAGCTCCGAAAGGTAGGACTTTTGTCGTCTTCCTAGGCATGTTACAGATCAAAACATAATCAAAGACGGGGTGAATTCATACTTCAGCCAATTTTTTTAAAAAAAATGTAGATATAGGGGATCCCTGGGTGGCGCAGCGGTTTGGCGCCTGCCTTTACCCAGGGCGCGATCCTAGAGTCCCGGGATCGAGTCCCAGGTCGGGCTCCCGGCGTGGAGCCTGCTTCTCCCTCTGCCTGGGTCTTTCTCTCTCTCTATAATGGATAGATAGATGATAGATAGATAGATAGATAGATAGATAGATAGATAGATAGATAGATGATAGATAATCTTTTTTAAAAAAATATAGATATAATTCAAATAGAACATTATATTACTGCCGGGTGTACAACATAATGATTCGATATTTGTATATTTTGTGGAAGGATCAAAATAAGTCTGGTTAAAATCCACCACTGTGCATAATTTTAATTTTTTTCCTTGTCATGAAAACTTTTAAGGTTTACTCCCTTAGAAACTTTCAAACATCCAATACAGTACTATTCACTGTACCCCTCTGCTGTACATTACACCCCACTGACCTATTTACTTTACAGCCAGGAATTTGCACTTTGTAACCCCCTTCTCCCATTCTCTACCCCTGACCCCACAATCACAAATCTGTTCTCTGTATTGACGAGTTTGAGGTTTTTTGTTTCTACTTTTAAATAAGGTCTTGCCATTTGAGACAACAGGGACTGACCTGAGGGCATTACGCTAAGTAAAATAATTAAGACAGAGAAAGACAAATGCCATATGATCTCACTTACATGTGGAATCTAAAGACATTTAAATGTATGATGTCCCCAGCTTTATTCTTCTTTTTCAAGATTGCTATGCTATTCAAGGTCCCTTATTGATTCCATACGAATTCTAGGATTATTTGTATTAATTTGTGAAAACGCCATTAGATTTTTGTATAGGGATTGCATTGAATCTATACATTGCTCTGGGTACTATGAACATTTTGATAGTATTAATTCTTCTAATCCACAAGCACAAAATATCTATCCATTGAGTTGTGTCTTCTTCAATTTCTTACATCAATGACATAGTTCTCAGTGTGCAGGTCATTCACCTTCTTAGTTAAATTTAGTTCTAGATTTTTATTTTTTTTCTCGTGCAGTTGTAAATGGGGTTGTCATCTTAATTTCTCTTTCTAATACCTCATTATTAGTGTATCAAAACACAATAAACTTTTCTATATTCATTTTGTATCCTGCAACTTTACCAAATTTATTAGTTTTAACAGGTTTTTGATAGAATCTTTAGAGATTTCTGTGTATATTATCATGTCATCTGACATAGTGACAATTTTTTTTTATCATATTCCTTTTAATTTAGTTTCCTTGCCTAATTGGTCTACCTGAGACTTCCAATACAATGTTGAGTAAAAGTAGCAAGAGGGGGCATCCTCATCTTATTCCTGATCTTAAAGGAAAAGCTTCCAGGTTCTCACTGTTGAGTAGGATATTAGCTGCGGGCTTGTAGTACATGGCCTTTAGTAAACACCCCCTAGCTTGTCGCTTTTTATGATATACATAGAATATATACTTAATTGTCCAGTTAAACAAACTTCATACACTCTGACAAGTTTGTATCTGAATTATATTTTTTTCTTTTTGATTTATGATATTACGTAAGCAATTTAACTTGTTCAAATATCCCTAGATATTCACTTTACTAAGGCCATTGCTCTTAGATTTAAGAATCCTTTGCAGGGGGAGGTGCGCTAAAAAAAAAAATCATTTTTAAAAGAATTACTTTATATATAACATAATTCGTCACTTGTAAAGTATGTAATTATACAAAGGAATAACTCAAAATATATTTATTTACCCATATAATACAGTCCTCAACCTTGTATTTTACTTGGAATTATTAAAACATTTTTCAAGATTATTACTCTGCTTATTAGAAATGGTTTATTGAAATTCTTTTTTAAAAAAGATTTATTTATTTATGATATAGAGAGAGAGGCAGAGACACAGGAGGAGGGAGAGGCAGGCTCCATGCCGGGAGCCCGACGTGGGACTCGATCCCGGGTCTCCAGGATCGCACCCCGGGCCAAAGGCAGGCGCTAAACCGCTGAGCCACCCAGGGATCCCCAGTTTATTGAAATTCTTAATATTTTCATCAATATCAAACAATAGTTTGATGTTGAACCACAGAATAGAAAATTTTTATGTGATGTCTCAAACAAATTCGGAAATGATAGTGAAGTCCAGAAGTCATACACGATGGCACGGCTCAAGTGGCACAGAATACGGACTCAGGAAAAATGAACTGAATTCCATTACTATCTGGCTTATGGTCCTGGCTAACAGTGCATCACCCCATTTGGTGTTAGTCACCATATTCTTTAGGTGAGAGTTTTGAAGTGACATCTAAAATCTCTTTCAGTTGTAGTGATCTCATATATATATGTGTACATATATACATATATATCACACTCTTTGTGATCGTTTCTAAAACTAAAGTTCTGTAAGTCAATCAGAGAAAGATAAATACCATATGATTTCACTCATACATAGAATTTAAGAAATAAAACAAATGAATAGAGGGAAAAGAAGGAGAGAAACAGACTCTTAACCACAGAGAATATACTGATGGTTACCAAAGGGGAGGTGGATAGGGGGATGAGTTAAATAGGTGATGGGGATTAAGGAGGGCACTTGTGATGAGCACTGGGTGTTGTATGGAAGTGTTGAATCACTATGTCGTACACTTCAAACTATTATTACACTGTATGTTAACTGGAATTTAAATAAAAACCTAAAAAAAAAGTCCTGTGCTAATTATACCTCATTTCAAATACAAATCTCAAGAAAAAAAATGTTTGAATTTGGATATTTATTATTTTCATGACACTTAAAATTTATTTTAAAACACATCATTGTTATAGCTCTCATATGATATGTAATTATGATATGCCATCAAGGTATCATCAAGCAAATTATAGCCAAATATCATAGGTCACCATATAGAACTGTTGTTTGATAAAGGTGCCTTAAGATGATTCCTTTTATCAGTTGTTTATAGAGTTCAGTTTTTCTCCAGTATGTACACCAAGTTACTACCTGAATACAAAAGTCCTCTGAAGGGTGAACTAACATTTTATGTGTGAAATAATAATTCTTTAATTCAGACATGGTTCATTTGTTACATCTTTAGGAAAGATTTCTGCTAACTGCTAATTTCCACAAGTGACTAGATGCTGTGCTCTGGTGGGGGCGGGGTGTCATTTAATATTTCAACAATGGAACCATTGTGTGAATAAAGTTGATGGTGTCTAATGTACCTTGAAATGTGCCCTAAAGTAGATTTCTATTAGTAGAGTCAGGGACTTGAAAGAAAATAGATCTTAGTTTCAAGTAAATTAGAAATCCCATACCACCTCAATTCATTAGTGAAAAAAAAAAAAAGCATGTTGACTCTTAGGATGAATAATACACAAATATCCAATGTGAAGCAAAGTGGATTTTAATAGCCTTGGGTTGATGGTATGTTAATTATTGCGCTAGTGACACTCTGGATGAATAAGACCCTCTCATGTCATATGATAACAGAAATGTAATAAAACTGAATTAGCTCAAAGTCAAAATGATGTTCCTAACTCTTCAGAAGTATTGGGGGAAACAGTTAAGCTATTTTTTTATTGTAAAATTCCAAAATTAAGCCTGCCAGGAAAGTGAGATGCCTAGATCAGAATGGCCATAATCAATTATGTATTTGAAAATTTTTCACCAAAGGCAACTCACTAGTCATGATGGAAGTTTAATTTTTCAGAATATCCACCATTAAGTGATTAGTTAATAGTGATGAAGACATGTGCAATTGCCACCACTAACTCCTTTTTGGCTAAGTGAATCCTAGTTCTAAGATGTATCTAGAATCCAAGGACATCTTATCATGTCTACTTGTTCCTACTCTATGTAAGCAGCTATCTTTTCTCATGAAGCTACTCTCCTCTTTCATGTTGATTAATGGGCTATATCCTAATGTGCTGCTCTTCTAGTTTCATCCACGTGTCTCCCACATACTAATTTCCATTCATCATGGAACCTAGAGTTATCTTTAAAAACATATCAGATCCTGTCACTCTGTTTGAAACCCTGCAGGTTTTCTATTCTATTAAGAAGGAAAAGTCACACTGGGCATAGAGCCTGCTAAAGATTGTCTCTGTCCCTCCCTCCTTCCTCTCGCTGTCTCCCTCTCTAAAAAAAAAAAAAAGAAAGAAAAATATAAAAAGAGAGAGAAAAGTCAAAACCTTTTTCTGGCTTCTGAAGATGACTTGATCTGACCTTGTTACCTCCCTGATTGCTTTTTCTCCCACTCTGCCCTCCTCACTCTTCTCCAGTGTATAATTTATTTGTTATTCCTCACATGTACCAGGCAATATCTCAAACCAAGTTTTTTTTTCCTTTTCTCTGTGCCCAGAACATTTTTTTCCAGATGTTTATATGGCTAACTCCCTAAAAAACTTCATGTTTTTCTTTGATGAGACTTACACTGACTAACCTATTTTATAGAGTAAAGTACTAACCTGGAGTATAAATCCACTTCTATCCTTTATTTTTGGTGACCTTACCTCTTATCCCATCTAACATGCTCTATGGTACCCCTACTTATTTTGCATATTGTTTATTGTCTGCCTCTCTACTCTAGAAAAGGGATCATTGCAATGGCGTAGCGGTAAAATGGCTCTTAAAAAAAATAAGGCC